GACTACATAGTTTGTTGTTCATTTTATAAGAATCTGAGTGCCACTCAGGAATTCTAGTTTTGTTCCAACTGAAATAAACAGGCAGTAAAATTAAGGCGCCTTAATTTCTACCTTGCACTTTTACCTCTCACCAACAGAAGTTGATCCAATAAAGATTCTCAGTCATCCTGGCTCTAATATGCTCAGCTACTGAAAGATACCACTGCACTTGGAAAGGGGAGAGAGAGAGAGACTGCAGCTCATTTACCTGGATACATTTCTGTTACATTCAGTTTATCTAAAATCCTTCTGCAGCTTCAGCTTTGGCATTTTTAATTTCCTTCACTATGGATTATAAAACTCTGCACTGTCCTATCGGAGATGGCTGCATTTTGGGTATTGCGTGAGGCAATTCCTGCACAGTCAGTAGGATTCAATCAGTAAACTACTTTTGAGATTTAGAAGAAAGGCACAATAATTTCCCCAGAATTGGTTATTATTGGAGGACAACATTGCATTAAAGGTAAGTAAATTAACCACACTACTAACCTTCTTGATATGGAACGTAGAATCTTACGGGTTTTGCTTAAGTTTTCATTTGTGTTCACTAACTACAAAGAAAAAAACACATTAGTTTCCACTTATTCTGAACGGCAATAAAATACAAAGCCAAACCTTGTATTCTGAGCCGAAGTGCACCAGCAGTTGGTCGAGGGCACAACAAATGAAGCAAACAGAAGATCTGGGTTCAGGAAGGATCTTACTGTAACTTTAATGAGCAGGCACACAGCATTGTATCTCAAAGCACCACCTGGACCATTGGTCTTACGTGAGAAACCATGCCACTTGTGATTGATTACTCAAGCCACAGATGGCTCAAGTGTAGTCAATACTCTCTCAGTACCAAAGTAAGAGAAAAGTGATGATTTGTCTAAAATAGTGGTTTTGATAAGTTATCAGATAAATAGCCAATTGAGACCAACACCACCATTAAACTGCTGAAGGACTGTTAAAAAAGGTAACCTTGGGATGAATAGCAATATATTATGTTGTCTGGTGCTCTCTAACAGCACTGTGGGGAGCTTACCCCTTTCATATCCTTAAGGATAAACAGAACAGTGAAATATGAAGAATCTTGCTATATTGGGAAAAATTAGGAATACCAGCAAGGAAACAAATGAAAGGTTAGAGAAAGATTTAACACATGGGCAGGAAAGGAGATCATTGGAAAGTTAACACATTATTACAGCCTTTATACTATGCAGTCAATAAGCAGTTTTTAAAATTACCTTGCAAGAAACAAGCAAAAAAAGTTTTAACATCCTCTGCTCACAGCTCCAGGAAAGTCCACAGAGGCTTTTAAAAACAATTCTAAACTTTGGCTCCTTGTTAAGGGAGCATATGCAAAAAGAAAGTGAGCTTGTATTTATTACTATTTTAATAGATGGACCAGTTTACAGATAGCACTACAAATGCATAACTCCACAAACAAGTTTAATGGGATAATAAATCCATACCATACTACTCAAATAACTAAAGCTCACCTGTGCACAGGCTTACTTTGCAGAGCTAGAGGTAAGAACGTGTCTTCACTTGTTAAGTCAGCAAATTTGACAGAGACATCTTGGACAAAATGATTAGACTGCATTGCATGAATTAGTCTTTTTGAAGTGGAACTGCATTTTGACAATGGTTTGCTCAAATAAAGGCTATGTGTTTAAACGCCTTTACATCAAGTTTGTATAGTTTAAAGCCACTATCTATACTTTACATTGTTAGTTGTTGGGCTACTTCCTGGTTTAGCCTCAGGGAGATGGATGAGGCCTACTGGGTAATCTCCATCTCATCCACATATAAAAAGTTAGGTTGAAAACTGATTTAGCCTCTTCCACTTGCTTCACACTGACAAAAATGACTAATATTTAAACAGGAAGCAGTCACTAGCACAGAACTCAAAACTTAACCAAAACAAACTCAAGTTCCACTTCAAAGTTCACCCCTTGTAACAAAGTGCTCTTTATGATGGACATTTAGAATGAAATGGGGGATCAATTTTTTATTCGTCACCAGTCTACAGTCTTCCACCCCTACCAACTGCTCCTTCTTCCCAGCTGTCCATATTGCAGCTTTCATACCCAGGAAGTGAACATCTGACAGAAGCACCCAGGTCTCCCAATAGGTTAACACCAGGCTATTACATTACAGTGCTAATAGTTGTTACACTCACTCTGCTTTTGGTGCGTTCCAATTGCTCTCGCTGGTCCCCAAGTTCCTCAATTATCTCTGTACCTATCTGATCTGTCTCTGCAGCGATCCGGTGTGAACGGTCAATACTCTGAGTGGCTCGGTTCAGGCTGTCCGTCCCCTGGAGAAGCAACACCCTCTGCGACTGCAAATGAGTCTAAAAATAGGTTTTTTACTGATTCACTATTAAAAATGGGAGCAGAAACATTGCTTTCTGCTGCATTCTAGAATTGAGGCGCACAGCTTTATAGACGACACGCCTATAATGGTGACATGCAGGGGAGAAAGTAACTTCAAGTTTCTTCCAGATACTGTCCTATCCCTGCCAGCTCTTTAAATAGCTCCCTGCTGGCTTTTGTTGCACCCTGGCCAGCTCTTGCCAGAGATGCGCATCAGGGTGCCACCTGCTTACATTCGCCTCTGGTAACGAGGCCCTTTTAGGTTAATAGAAGCTGACAAATAGTATTTGAAAGTAGCTGTCATAAATTATGTCAACTCTGTATTACTTACAATTAGCCCTGACTATATATTTATCTGCAACATTTCTAGAGAATAGGGAAGAAGCCAAAGATAAACATAACAAACTACAGTAAGAGGAGGAGGAAAGAGGACAAACTCTTTCACTAGGAAGATTAAGAGCCAGAGAACAAATTACTTAAAAAACAGATTTCCTTGTTTACACCCTTTATAACCACATTCATAAAAATGCAAGTAAGTCACTGAAAAAGGCTGAAATATGGAGTAAGAGATACTGTTCCTTATTTAGATTAATTTGATTTTCCCATCTTAACTCAATTGTGTCCCACTCTTTCAATCAAAACCCATAGGAAAAGAAAGATTCAATGAATAAGTAAACTGGGACGGGAGCAGAGAATTCAGGACTCTTTTCTTTACTACATCTTTATCTCTTGTAATGCAGGCTCATCACATATTGCCACAAACTAGAAGGATCTGAAGAAATCTAACTCCAATAAATGAAAAAAGGGGACTAAAGGAGCTCCAGCAGAGCTCCTCTAGGCTAGCAAATACATTCTCTTTATATAACCTCTTTTGGAAACAAGAAAAGCTAGGGTTTCTTCTGTCCATCATTTGCATGACTTTAGGGACAAATATCTGCTCTAAGAAGCTAAGAAAAAAACAAACTGTAGTTAAATAGAAAGAGGCCTGGTGTAGTTCACACACAACAAAACTACACTCAAAATAGGGTTAAAAAGGATATTAAACCTGGCAAAGACATGAAAACGGAGTCAAAATGAAGTGTTAATCTTAGAAGTACAGGTGTTACTTGAGAATGTTTTAAAACCTTTCTGGTTAGAAATAAATGTCACATTTTTCCATCCTTTAATCTTCACCCTGCTACTAGTGATACAAATATTTTATTTTTAAGTATTTATCTGCTTCTTTATCCCTACCTGAAGTCATTCCTTTATCTGCAGCATTCACAATTGGTTGCTGTAGAGATTTTTATGGGGTTACATCAGAGGATTACATGGGAACAAGCAGCACCAGATGGAATGCCTAGGCCACGAAGATCCTCTTTTCATACAAATAAGTAGCCCAGTCACAGGATAAGAAGCTCACTGACCTTGAGGCAGAATAGAATATTTTCCTAAGGTTTGAAAAAGGCTTTAATCTACTACCTTGTATTAAGGTATTGTAACAGGCAACAAATGACTTGTGCTGCTGCAAAATCCAGACAAATCAAGGATAGTGCCTCAGTCTCCAAAGTTTCCTGGCTTTAGTAATTTGTGCGCCAATGAAAGGTATTCCCAAAGATTAAAATAATCCAACCACGTGATGTGTGCAGCATAGACAGCAGCTTCAGTCCCAAACAGACCAATGTGCCTCAGAGCTTTAAGACAAGAGGTGATTTCAGTCTCTATAGTTCAGTCATACATTGCCTTAACTATCTACAGTACAGGAAATAAAGCTAACAAATCTAGTACTTCAAAGTTTTGAGTGGTCTGAACAATATTCTACTTAAATATATGATCTGTTACACACTTCATGTACCTTTGACAGCGAAATAAAATTGGTCATTTAATTTCTTCCTGAACTACTACAGGGGTGCGTCTAGACTGGCAAGATTTTGCACAAAAACTTGCCAGCTGTCTATACTGGCTTCTTGAATTTTGTGCAAGAGCACTGATGTTCTAACGTAAGAATTCACTGCTTCTTGTGCAAATACTTTGACGCTCCCGCTCAGGGATAAGCCCACTTGCGCAAGAGGGCCAGCGTAGACAGGCACCTTAATTTTTTGCGAAAGAAAGCCCGATGGCTAAAATGGCCATCTGAGCTTTCTTGAGCAAAAGCGCGTCTATACTGGGCACGGATGCTTTTGCGCAAAAGCACTTTTTGCGCAAAAGCATCCGTGCCAATCTAGATGCGCTTTTGCGGAAATAGTTTTAACGGAAAAACTTTTCAGTTAAAAATATTTCCACAAAATCATGCCAGTCTAGACGCAGCCCAGTTGTATTTTCTATGCTGTAAGGAATGTTTAAAAAAGTCTTTCAGTGGGTGCATCTACACAGCAGAGCTTATCTCAAAATAAGCTACACAAATTGAACTACCGTCTTTTAGCGAATATACCCCGCTCCTGAGAATAACCCGCACCCGAATATGCCCCGAGTATAACCCGCTGGGTACACAAAACTTTTTTTCAAACTGTGCAGGGGAGGCGGGGGGGCTTCTATGGGTGTGTGTGGGGGGAAATTAGCCACCCTCCGGACGGAGGGAGCACTCACCCTGCCTGGTTTCCGCGCAGCTGCACAACCTCTGGGCGGGGGAGCACTCACCACCCTGAGTCCCACACGGTCACATAACCTCCAGGCGGGGGAATGAGAGCACTCCCCAGCCCGGAGGCTGGTGGCTGTGCAGCGGGGGAAGAGCGCTCACCACCAGGTGAGTAAAAAATATTTTTGTATACCCCGCACCCAAGTACACCCCACATTGGGGGGTGTGGAGTTGGTAAAAATGAATATAACCCTCGGGTTATATTCGCTAAAATACGGTACGTCAATTGCGTAGCTTATTTTGAAATTGGGAACGTCTACACAGCACTTATTTCGAAATAGAGTACTCTTCCTCATCAGACTTCCCTTACTCCTCATACAGTGAGGGTTACAGCAGTTGAAATAAGTCCTCCAGCTTGACAGTATTTTGACAATATTTCAAAATAACTGCCTGCTGGGTAGACATACCCAGTATGTTTAATGAAAATCTGTTTTTTGTGTGCGTGTATGGGGGGAGAGGGTTAATTGAGCCAAATGCTATTAGAGAATCAACAAGCAAATTCATTTTGAGTTTATTCTTTCATTCTTACCAAGTTGACATCTGCTTAAAAAAAAAAAAAAAAACACCACCCACAAACCACAAGAGTTACAGGTACAATATTTCTCTCCTGCAAAATATTCTCTATTATACAGCTCCCATCACATGCAGAGTAGATTTACAGAGAAGTTATATAAGCTCAGAAACTAAGCAGGGTAAGATAGAAACACTAAAAGTAGCACAGCTAGCTACAGCTGAAGTAGTAATCTAATAACTGAGTGTTTAAAATATTTTGAATATCTGTTTGAAACTTACTGTCTGCTCATTTTCTGTGGTATAGATTCCATATTTTGTGTCCCCCCGACTTCCAGGGCACAACCCCAAATCTGTGCTTTTCATCTCTCTCTGGAACATGGCAAGGTCTCTCTTGTAGGCCCGGATTCTGTTCATCATTTGGTTGCGGAAGGACACTGGGGCATATTTCAGTTCTTCTTCCATCTCTCGCAGCTTTGAGGAGGAAAAAAAATAGTTACAAAAGCAACACATTCAACTAATACAGGGGAATATTCAAACCATGCCCAACCCCAAGCTGTATTTGCAACTTGGCAGGCATCTGAGGGAAGAACCTATTTTGTGAGGGAGGACATTGTAACTGCCTCATTTAATACAGATGCACAGCACACAAGTCTAGCAGCTGCTTAGCTCAAGATAGAGTGCTGCATAACAGGCCAGTGGTCTCCATAGTCACATCTTCACATAAAAATGGCAACCAGACTATGATTCCACAAGCCTAATTTTGTCCAAATCTCAGCATAGTGTTCATACTGTGTTTAACAGCCTTCCCTCAAGAGAATCTAAACGTTAACAAGGTAAGTCTTATCAGTCTGTAACCGCATCACAGAGAGCATTCTCTGAATCAAGATCTCAAATTTACAATTTTATTTTTTACAGTGAAAATAAGGAATAAGTCATACTTGTCAGGATCATGTCAACAGTGTTTTCCAAAATTTGATTTGCATTGTTACTCACACCCCAACAGAACAAGAGAATACCACTTGAGTAAGACACTGGTGTACATGTGTACCCTGGTACAAGTCATGGATAATGCTTCAACAAAGGAGACTAAAACTAAAATTAAAAGGCTGATTTTCTATGTAGCATTTAAATAGCTATACTTTGGCCCTGTTCACATTTTTTACACAGTTTTAAGTTGCTGTCAACTTTCCCATCACATCTACACAAGCAGAGATAGGCTGTCAACCAAATTTCCTTATCTGAACTCAAGTTCAGGACCATCTCTAAGTAGGACTTGTGACTAGAACTGGGTAACATTTTTTTTCAGTTCACTGGCAATTCCAAAACAGTTTTTTAAAAGTGATTCACCTAGAAATGTTCAGGAATGTTGGGCAAATAAAAAAAGTCATCAAAAATTAATTTCTGCTTAAACAAAATGCTTCATCCAAAATTTCTGTTCGGCTCTATTTCAAGCCCTCAGTGGGAGTATACAGATTTCATTGTGTATGGATCGCTACACCAATAATCCTTTGATGAATCAGGAAATAAAGGTAGTTACTACAGATGCATAGTTTAAGGTCAGAAAGGACCATTAGATCTTTTATTGGTATATCACATGCCATTTCCCCCCAATTACCCCATATAACTTGTCTCTGGCTAAAGCATCTCTTCCAGAAAATCCTTCAGTCTTGATTTGAAGATCCAGAGATAACAAATCCCCCACTTTCTCTAGTAATTTGAGTTTCAAAACCACTGTGTCATGTTTCAGAGATTCAACAATCATAAGATTCTCAAAAAATACAAAACCCAAATGATATATTATAAAAAATATACAGTCAAAAAATAAACTTCTGGTTGATCATTAGAATTTTGTGCTGAAATCTAGAGCCACAACCATCCAAGAGGTAACTCTTTTCCCTGTGATGGACAGTGTACATCAAGGCCAATGAGAGTTACATATGCAATTCATGTATTTAGTACAGCAAGTTATTGTACAAGTATAACTAACCAACACATCAAAGCTATATACTACAATAAGTGGAGTTTAAAATAGTATGAGTTTCCCATGGGAACAACTACAGAAAAGTTCTGGGACATATACTGTATAGCTAAAGAAATAAAATTAAAAGGTAACCATTATATAAATATGGTACAGAAGAAATTTTAAGCCTGTAATGTTATAGCTAAAAAAAAGCAAATTGAGACAGTTTTGCATTGCTTTACATCTTCTACTGCCCCAACAATCCTGCATCTGAATGTTCTTCTGAGTGGCTCTGCATATTCATATTTATGGATATTGTGCTAGCTGGTGCTACTTTAAAGGTAGAACCTTCTCCAAGCAATGCCTATTAGAGTACACAGGCATCCTTCTTGCCTTCTCCAAGTTTCCAAATGTTCTGAGGGCAAGGCTATATAAGGAATATAGCACCCTCTCCTGCCTCAGTTCCTTCCACCTTTTGCACCAGACAGAAGCAAACCACTCCAATTCATCTTGGATCCAGGTTTTTCCCACTGTAGACAGTTCTTTATATACAGGCAGTCCCCGACTTACGCGGATCCGACTTATGTCGGATCCGCACTTACGAACGGGGCTTTCTCGACCCGGAGGTTGAGGTGGCGGATTGCTACCTGCGAGCTCCGGGGCGAGAAAGCCCCGTTCGTAAGCTGCTCCGGTGCCCCTGGTCTGCTGTAGACCGTCTCCAGCAGACCAGGGGCACCGGGCGGGTTCCCGCGCCTCTGAGGCTTTGCCAGAGCAAAGCCTCAGAAGCG